TATATATATATATATATATATATATATATATATATATATATATATATATATAATGACTTTGTTTATTAATGTACTAACATTTACGTAGCTCGTAATTTTACACCTAATTGTTTACGTGTATGAGTATTGTCCGTATGAGATACAAAGTAAATGTAATCAATAAACTCTTACGCATAATTGTACTGTTCGCTTCAAGTACATTGATGCTCAAGCAAAATATTGGGAACGTTGAAAATTTCAATTTTAATAGTACGTAAAGAAGAGCGTGTTTCCTGTTGCGTGACCAGAAGTTTTTTTCATGGCACCGCATCGTGTCTTTTTATTGTTATCTGATGTCCTCCGAGAAGGCAACAGGAATTTCAAATATTGGATTTGCTATAACGCGCGGTTGACATCAAGATCATAACAACCGTTTCACCGTGTGTGCGAATGTACTACTCGTATTATTAAAGGCAAGTGAAATGTTATTGTTAGCTGATGGAAGTCAGTCATTCCGTGTCTTTCCATGTGTACGTTAAATGTAATATAATTTATTTCAGACTAACATGTGGTAACATACGTTATTGTCTATAATTTGTTAGTCACGAATGTATAAAGTTTTAATGAATAAAAGTGTATATTTTTAGACATATTGATATTGCAACAATGTATTTTTTCATGTAATAGATTCTCGTAAAAAGAGACATAAAGATTATTTTTATCACGAGATTACATTGTCTTTTAAGAACAACTCGCATTATAAATAGGACTGGAAAAATAAATTGGCAGAACAGTTTAGCAGTTATAATTAATATTATTAATATCACAGTTGCATAAATATTATTTTGTTTTATACGTTCGTGTTAGTAATTTTTACCAACCTGTACATATGCCTATATAGGTTTCACGAGAGAAATTATTATAAAAAGACATGATATGCATATGTGTAAACATTTTATACGAAATATATACGCATCAGTTTCTTATATGTACGCTATCCTTAATTTTTTTCTTTTATTTTTAATTATATTTATCGTAAACTGTCATATAACAAACTAAATACATTTATGTGAAGAGAATTCCCTTTTACATTTTATCTCACGTTAAGATAAATTTCTTATTTATTTTTGTTATTAACTGTACTGTGTAACTTGATAACACTTGGAAACTTGTACCATTTTTTTGCATTAAATTAACGCACTATATATATATACTAATTATTAATGATTAATAAAAAATACATGACAGTTTTACTCTATACAATAATTATATGTTAATATGTCTTTTATGATAATTTCAAGATTTTATATTTAATCATTAAATTTATTTATCCATAAATCTATTTGACCGTTTGGTAAACTTATATGTTCATGATAAACTATTCGTTTCAAATATGTCCACATCATTATTAGAAATATTACGTAGCCGACTGCTTGTAATTCTTTGTACTCATCAGCTTCTTGCCACACATAGCGCATATAGCTTTCTTGTACGCGCAGGACTGGCAATAATGGGATCCCACTTGGTGAACTTTCTGCCTGCATATTCTGCAGATCTCGAATTTTGTGGTATACGGATTGAATCGTGCCTTTCCCGCGGAAAGAGCTTTGTTCTCACCAACCTTACGACCTCCGCCCTCTGTCGTGTTCCTCGCGCCCGTCTTCCAGGGATCCGGAGTGATAACTTTGCCCAATTTCTTCTCGCATTTCTCGCAAACCATGTTGAGATATTTTGTTTTTTCTAAAAATACTACGCAAACTCAATATCTACCTGAAAATAATTGAGCATTATGAGTATCTAAAGATAAATTATTTTTAAATCAAAGACAAAATTATATTATTGTACCTTGAGCTTTTGGGTTGTAATCCTTTCTTGAATTAGTTTCTGCTTGTTTAATATTCGTAAATACAATATCGTGAATATCTGTTCGTCAGGATGAAGTATATCGCATAAGCTAAATAGCTGAAAATAATTATATAGTTATTAACGAGTTATTAACGTATAAAGAGGAATCATTCTTACATAATATCGAAAAGACATATTTATATTATATTACTGTACCTTAAATGTCTGTTGTAATCCTTCCTCAAATATCAATGTATCTTCTCATTAGGGTAAAAAACCGAAAACTAAATATCTGTCTGAAAATAATTGTATAGGTGAAACATCAAATAGAGTGGACATATAAAAATGAATTATTTTTAAATCAACAACATAATTGTGTTACATTATTATATTATTATCGTACATACGTGGCTTTTTAGGTTATACTGCCTCCACAAGTTGTATTTTTATCTTTTCCACGTACCCGCACGTACAATATCAATCTTTTCATCACTATATCGATTTCTTCGGTATTAAACTCTGTAAACCTCGTAATTGAAATAACTACCGAAGGAATTTGACAATCCGTCCGTATCCGACTGCGTAGCGAGCTAACGAGAGTAACGAGGGTTAGGAAAAACAATCGTCATTCCGATCGTTTCCGAAGGTTTCCGAATATTTCCGAGCTGCTCCGATCTATCTCTTTGAGAAAACTTTGCGAGGAGGGGGAGGGGGAAACTGGCCTCGAATTGGGCGCGTTCAGCAGACCAAATCGCTCAGTAGCAGTCTAACGTGATTGGCTCTTACTTTTAGAACCAATCAATCAACGTAGAGTATTGATAAGACGAACTCAACAGTTGTGTCTGCTGAACGCGGCCATTGCTCACGCTCACAGTGAGCGGTCGCCATATTTGTAATTTTTATATCGCGCGCTCACTTTACATTCACAATATATTCCTAACTAAATTGCCTAAAGAAACAGATCTCCATTCTCATGCAATCGAAAATATGCGCGGATATTATACATAAACTGCATTTTTGCTTCATAAACGACAATTTGCTCTAAATGATTTTAATTATTGAGCATTTATTAAATTCAAAACAATCGATATATTAATACGGTGACCCTTTCATCGTCAAATCTGTTCAGTTCTTAACTAGGAACGATTCAAATCGATGAAAATAATATAATTCGGTACGAGTGTTGGTCATTGTAGACCGTTCATGCGACTATTTGACTTTTTTTATATCTATCCGTAGACGATAGTGCCTATCTTTACCATGGTGACAAATCTGTCTCATGGTCATCAAATTGAAACAATTGATTATTATTGCATTGCGCGCATTGCAACTTTAAACTGATAAGCAGGCGAAGCAGGAATACGAATAAAAGACGACAAGAGCAATAAATTATACCTGATTGAACACGATGACGAGTTCGTCGAAATTCATATAGGATTCGAGAGCAGGCCCAGAAACAACTTAAGGGAATATTAAACTTTGTGGGGTCTGTTTTCGAAGAATTCCTTAAAAAAAATGTATTAAAGCAATTAAGATTTTCTCTTTGAAAAATTTTTAATACGACGTGACGTATGTATATTTTCTTTTCTTAGATACTTTGCATATAGTTGTGTTAAATCAAATCATAAAAAATGATATAATTAATCTTTGTATTTTAATAACATTTATTATTTTAAATATACATTTGTTTGCTTTATAAATATCTATCATGTAATAGGATTAAAATAATATTTTTCTATTTATTATATGTTATGTACTAACGATCAGCCGGTTTGTTTACGACATTATTATTTAATTGTTGAATATGTTATAGCTTCGGAAATGTATACATACACACACACCCACACATACACATACACACACATATTACACTAACATGTAAAAAATCGGTCGTAACTGCTGAAGAACACGTAACTGTTGTAATTTATAAAAATCTAAGTCGAATCGGATTTTTTTTTATTTAGTTTTTCTTCTTATCGTGTGCATCGTTGCATATCATATTATTAATTCAAGAAATCAATCAATATTTAAATTAGATAACTCAATTTAAAACCAAATAAAGTACAAGATCGAGAAACGCGGTAGTGTCAAGTTCAACATGCAGCAAAGTCGCATAGAAGATGATAAAGAGAAATTAGTAGTCGCTGGTTTCTTATTTTACACAAAAATGGGCGATTGAACAGCGTATCATTAATGTGAAATACAATTGCGATAAATTGGGCAGTGGATGATGATCCCTGGCAAGATCATGCTGAGTTTTCTCAAACAAATATGTCCTTATTATCTGCATGCAGTTAAAGAAAGCGATTATGTGGCCATAATAAAAAATCTTTCAGTTTTTAAAATCGTTCTACGATTTATGTACTCCTAAAGTCTCTTGCATAATGTTAGGCGATTGGGTTACGTACACACATTGCGGTTTTAAGCACACACAATTTTTTTTCGCACAACAGACGCACGTGACGGGGAGCACACACTTCTGCATAACGCATAATGCGTAAGCATAAGAAAATTGATTGGTCTATTTCCTTATGCACATGTATATGGACCAATCAATTTTTTGGATTAGACGTGGAGAGAAAAAGAGGGAAAGATGTTGAAATCAGGGGACCTATTATGGACTTGTTCGGAATGGATTCCGATCGGAATTGTTCAGTTATTTCCTAGATTTCTATTGTCTTTTCTAGGGAAAACGGAATAATTCCGATTGGAATTCATTCCGAACAAGTCCATAATAGGTCCCCAGGGCCGGAAAACAATACAAAGGTACAGATAATAGGAACACAGAATAGGAACAGGGAATAAAAACAGAATGCATTGATACACGGCTTCTGATAGGTTGAAAATCTACAATCTATTGCTATTCCCTATTCCTATTGCCTGTACTTTTGTATTGTGTTCCGGCCTTCTCAGATAGAAGAGAGACATCTGAGAGAGCCCTTCTCAGTCGACCACGAGGGCCACCAACGAGGCACGAGATCGCTCCCGGCAGTCCCGGTTTGTCGATGCGGAACGTTAGATGTAAGTTTTCTCGGTCCTTTTTTTTCTTTCTCTTATTTTGTTCGCGTTAATATAAAATGTATCAGGCAAGCGGCAGGTGGTGTTTTCCACACAGGAAAAAATAGCGTCGCTAAGAATAACAGTTCAAATTCATTCTTACATATTTTTTTGCTCGCTAATACACCACGTGCTCGACATTGTATTCACGTGTAGTACTTACCGCACACACATTTGTGCAGTTTCATTCGGTAAACGAATTGTCCGCAGTGCCTAGTATGTCAGCAAACTCGATCGGGAGTTGCCACGTGCGCCTCACGTCACGTGGCCTCACGCATGAATCCGCCATGATGCCACCTTGAACTTTCCATTCAGGCTTTTTGATATCTTCGTTACTACGTCATAAAATATTTCATAAAAATCGTTACCATACAATATTTCATAAGAATATTTCAAAATTATGTATTAATATTTAAATTGTATGTATAATGTAGTTATCATTATCGTGGAAACATTGTTACACCTTTTTCTCAAGTAGTATTTTCTATGATAATAAATTTATAGTCTTGTGTGTATATATATATATATATATATATATGTTGTAAGCAAAATTATTAGTTTCGACGATATGAGGCGGCCCACGCAGCCTGTACCGAAAGTTCAATGTAGGGTAGGTGACGTTAAGTATTTTGCTAACATAATCTGATTATTGGCAGACGCAAACGCAGATTTTACTCAATTTTTGCTGCCACTCTGCGTCAAATAGTACAACAAGTATGTCAGTTTGTTTGATTTTTGCCATCATATTTGGTTGACAAACTTTACTATATGTATATCTGCCAGCGTGTTATACTAACAATATCATATGTCAGATTCTGTTTCAAATCTGTGGCTATTCTGCTGACAAAATTTATAGCAAAGACTTTATAGGAATCTGTTTCTGACAACCTGGGGCCGTATTCTGTTCCGCTAAAATCGGCTTACCGACAATTGTCGGTAAGCGGATTTTAGCGGAACAGAATATGGCCCCTGGGCTGTCTAGACATGTTTGTTAAAGTAAGAGAATCCGATATTGCCTACGTATGCTGGATATTGAATTAAATATTAATTAAATGATAATGTATTTATTGTTTATATCGTTTGTTAAGTATACATTGAGTAAAATTTTTGACAAATTGTTATTTCTTTTAAATTTGAGCATCTATTGATATTTATTTCTTCTTTACAGGTTCATAATCATCTTTACAAAAACATATTAAGAAAATGATTGAATGCAACAACCACTCAAACTGCGTGATAGGAGTGGATGTATGTGGACCATTTAACGAGGCTTACTTACCGAGGCGGCCGAAGAGGACGACCACGACGGCTCGCGCCGTCACGGAAGCCTCGCAGCAAGGAAGATCCGCGGGAGGCCAAGGCACGGGACCGAGCTCGGATCCCCGGGACCGGCGCGAGAACGCCGATCGGTTCACCTCGCCCAGGCCCGGCTTAAATGAATTAAGTAGGATGGTCTCAGTACCGGATCATCTCGAATATGTCAGTTTTGCTGCGAGAATAGCGAGAGGGATGGCCTCGGGACCGAAGCATCCCGAATATGAAAGTTATGCTACGAGATTAGCCTCGTTTGACAGATGGCCTAAAGCAATGTCGCAAACTAAAGAGACACTAGCAACTGCTGGTTTCTATTACACGGGCGGTCAAACATTGTGCTATTATTGTGGTAGAGGATTAAGTTGGGAGCCAGAAGATGATCCGTGGGTAAAGCACGCTAAGTGGTTCGCATATTGTCCTTACCTGATTCTAACTAAAGGGACGGAATTTGTAAGCAGCATTGCCTCGAGAACGGATATCGGAGCAGTGAGTATTTAACAAAATATATTTAACAAAATATATGTTGTTATTAGAATTGTATATAACTTGTATATTCGTAATAAATATTCCCATCTATTTAAAAAATAATGAAATAATTGTGTTGAATATAATAACATTAATTTTAAGTTATTTATTAATTTTTTTTTTAGGAAAACATATTATCTGCAATTAATAATTTGGGTAAGCATCCCAGATATGCCAGTTATGCTACGAGATTAGTTTCGTTCGACAGATGGCCTAAAGCAATGTCGCAAACTAAAGAGACACTAGCAACTGCTGGTTTCTATTACACTGGAAGTGGCGATCAAACATTGTGCTATCAGTGTGGTGGAGGAATAAACGATTGGGAGTCAGAAGATGATCCCTGGGTAGAGCACGCTAAGTGGTACGAACATTGTCCTTATCTGATTTTAACTAAAGGGACGGAATTTGTAAGCAGTATTACCGGGAGAATGGTTATCGGAGCAGTGAGTATTTAACAAAATATATTGTTATTAGAATTGTGCAACTTGTATATTCGTAATAAATATTACCATCTGTTCAAAAAATAATGAAATAATTGTGTTGAATATAATAACATTAATTTTAAGTTATTTATTTATTTTTTTATTAATTTTTTTAGGAAAACATTATCTGCAATTAATAAATTGGGCGAGAAAATTGAGAAAGATATTGATGCTGAGAGTATTGCTAGCGGAAGCTCTTGAAATTCGAAGCTCTCTATTCTGAAGAAACTAATACTACAGAGGTGTAGTAAATTATTAAACGCATTATTGTCCATAAGTGTAAAATATTGTAACTTCGATCCGTATTGAATCTTCCTTAGTGGCAAATTGAAGAGCAATATATGTTAATAAAAATATTTCTGTGTCGAATATTTGTGGGCTGGCTTTAATTAGCCTTTCTATTATAAATTAATGAAGAACATTTAGTTTAATCAGCCTGTTTTTTTTATCTAATTTCTATTGTAATCTATTAGACATGCTTCGTTGTAGTTTATACATATTAATGTACCGCAAATTATTAAACGCATTATTCTTTATAAATGTAAAATATTGTAACTTTAACATAACAAATCTAAGCACAGGGTACAGTTGATAAAAATCAATCAGTATTGATAATACAAAATTGACAATCAATGTATTATAAAATAAATACAAACGTAACAAAATAATGAAGTTTTGATAAACTACAAAACGTAAACAACGTCCGAAAAAAAACATAGTAATTATTTAAATTTATTATTATTTAAAAATAGACTGGTAAAAAGTACTGTAAAATTTTGGAATATGAATAATATGATTATCTTTGAGAAGTTCTCAAATATCAGTTTTCTTTTTGTCTCCTACAACTATAACTTTTTGAAGTACGCTGGTTGTAGTTTCAAAATAATGGGCAGATTTTGGTTTTCTCCTATTATTTACTAAAACTCTTGTAGATAAGAAAAAACATGTTTTAAAAGAGACAGTGTAAGAATTATTTTTTTAGGAGGCTCTTACTTTTTACGTAATCTTTTACTCCTATGTGTCAAATATCACAAGACGGAACATTCATCTCATCCAGTATCATGAAAACTGCTAATCGAACTGCTCCCAAACAGCCAGTCACTATATCCATTCTTTTCTTCTTTCGTTACTTCTATCTGTTTTCGCTGTCTCT